AAGCATGTAGTCCCTTCCTACATGTTTATGTACTCTCTCTCTCTCTCTCTCTCTCTCTCTCTCTCTCTGTCTCTCTCTCTCTCTCTCTCTCTCTCTCTCTCTCTCTCTCTCTCTCTCTCTCTCTCTGTTATGCTGGGCTGATGACTTAAAAAACATAGTATTTATGAACTAAAACGAATATTTAGCACCACAACAAACACTGTTAATGATGGATATGTTAGTAAAAACGCAACAAAACTTTTGAAATGATAAAAAGAAATGGAAGCAACTAAAGCAAAGCAAAAAACAACAAAAGAGGATCACTCTCGACTCTCGATTCTTAAATTTAAAACAAAAAATCAAGTTTGATGTTGAGTTTTGTTTTGTTAGTCTTTAGCTTTTATGTTTTGGGTTAATCTCCAACTTCCCAGAGACAAAACAAAAACAAATAAAGTAGCAACAGAAGAGGGGGAAACAAAAGCGCGGAAAGCCTCACCATACTCACCATCAAAATCGTCATAGTCTTTCTCCCTGAGAATGGTTCCGGAGCCGAAGTCGATCAACTTGAGGAGTCCGGTTTTTAAATCCACGAGCACGTTCTCGTCCTTGATGTCCCTGTGCAGCACGCCAGACTTCTCGATGTGGTGGACCATGTTGACGATCTGAGTGAAGAAGATGCGCGCGTCGTTCTCCGTGAGTGGCCCTCGCTCGGTGATGTAGTCGAAGAGATCCTTCACGTTCTCAGGCCGCTCCATGATGATGATGAAGCTGTCGTGTCGCTCAAAGGTGTCGATGAGTTTGATCACTCCGGGCACGTGCTGTACGCGGTGAAGGAGGTGAAGTTCCATGGGCACGTGCATGCCGTTAGCCTGAGGGAGGGAGAGAAAACAACAATATAATGGTGAGTTTATGGAGAGTTTTACAGCGCTTGCAACAAACACAAATACAATGTAGGTCATAATATTATAAGTGCCAAAATGGCCCGAGGGAGAAAAGGGGACAACATATTGCATAATTGGTTGTTAAAAATTGTTAAAACTCGTAAAAATAAACAAGACATTCTTAAATGAAAATGAAACATCAGCAATAACAGAAAAAACGACATCAACAACAAAACAACAGCAGTAGAAACAATGACAACACTAACAACAAAGCGATGACTAACGCAGTAGAAACAATGACAACACTAACAACAAAGCGATGACTAACGCAGTATTTGTCAACAAGAATTCCTGTCGCAATCATCTACCCTCAGAGACGGAACGCCCCGACACTTAAGTGTCCCCGCCCACTACTACTACACATAAAAACCCCAAAGTTTAACAGCAACAATTACAATGATCATCAAGTCATTGAGCAACACGAAACGACTGAGAGGCGAATCAGAATGATCACGGAGCGGAACAATGTGGAGAATGTTTGTTATCAGCCTGAGCCCACGATAACAAAACAATAGGTGGAGACATGTGGCGCCCTCACACTGAGCGAAGGCCACACACGATGGGTACCACCTGTCACGAGGTCAACCGTTCACTGATACAACCACAACAACAACGACTACAACAACTACAACAACAACGACGACAATATCATCATCACAAGACATCACGAGACACGTCATGAGACAGCCAGGCGGATCTGAATTCCCAAAGCTTGAGATTCTGATTAAAGCTTTTAAAAACATATCGTTGGAATCACCCCCCTAGCTTTGTGGTCGTGTCTAGTTTACATCCCGAAAGAGAGAGAGAGAGAGAGAGAGAGAGAGAGAGAGA